ATTTAATAATTGAGCGTATCTATCATTCATTAGAAAAATTGCTGCTAATATGTCTTTCCMCTCCAATAAAGTGTATGCCTGTATAGGATCTGATTGATGAAGAAGGAATTGATCGGACTAAGCATATATGGACTCGTATACGTATTGATAAAATCAGAAKATCGAAAAAAAGCAGCGAAATTTTTTACACTTAAATTATCATTATAAATGGGGGTAAGCTGAGCTTATTTTTTCGACAGTATTTTCTCATAATCATTATACGGGCTTAAACGAAATTTGTAATAAGTTACTAAGGCAACGAGCTAGTAGACTAAAAAAATATGCAATATTTGAACACCTTCATGTTGAATTCGATTATTCAGTCGTGTGTGTTGCGAACGGAGTCATCTTTTAACCAAGCTTTTATATTCTCTCGAATTTTGTTTGAGCTTTCCCGAATATAATTAAATGTTATTTTTTTATGAGGAAATAYCTTAGAAAAATAAATGATTTAACTCTCTATTTTTATTAACGAATGTTTTATTTGCGGGTTTAGTATTTTGCATAGTTAAGCTTGAAAATACAACGTACTTAATTATTTATAATCTTTCATTCATTCGCGACCACATTGATCAAAAAACTTATATTTACAGGTTTAAAAATTTAAAAAAAATTCTTTATATTGCCTATCTCTCTTCCTGATCTGTGATCCGCGGTTGTTAGCGTGCTTTTTTTACCGGAATTGTTAAAACCGGCTGCCAATAGAACAAGAGATCCGTCTTAGCTGTCGCTTCTATGTTTTTTACTCTCGCTCATGTGTCAGTCCATCTTATCTTTGCTCTATTTTCTTACTGATTATCGCAGCGATTAACTCTCGTTTGGTTTTCAAGAAGAGCTTGTCAACAATGATTACGGAATAGGAAGCGTAGCGAAGATGTAGCGGGTTTATAGATGCGTTACCTGGATCTAAAAACTATTACTGCCGTAAAGAAGGCTGAAGTTAAGATCCTCGTCATTTTAGAACCTACATTATATAACAAAACGATTGTATTTTTGTTCGTCCGCCCCGGAGCGGTGAGATGGACAAACATCATCCGGACGCTGCCACCATTTTTACTTCAAGAGCACATGATAGGCAAGTTTGAAGATTTTTAAAGTCTCCCGAAGTGAGAGAACAATAAGTAAGATTCTCCTTTATATTCTAAATACAATTGTACTTCGCTTTAAATACAAAGGTTAACAAGACATTCAAAAGTATTCATATTAGAAGAAAGAAGTCAGTTTTTCAACACGATTCTAATTAAACTATGATATCTCTCCAGGAAAATCTTACAGCATTTGACTTCATCGACTGATCTATAGTAATTCAAGAGCTCCGGATCCCAAATAATTTGATCAAATTTTTTGTATGTTTTTTTTGACGTTCGATTTTGCATATCATAACAACCACTTGATTCGTCTGATTTTCCCGTGAATAATATTCAATTAACAGATGCCACACTAGCTAGGTAAATAAATATGTATGTATGGAATTCAATAACTGTATGACTGAACCGCTGCTGTACATACATCGAGCATGACAGTCTAGCGGGAAGAAAAGAGACACATTAGGATTCTTTTAAAGCGAAGCAGGAAAGAAAATGTCATGGAGAAGGATAAGAACGATTCTTCGCGTTCGTCCAACCACTAACTTTCCTGATGTCCAAGATTTCATGGACGAAACCCAGAATTATGAAGACACAGCTATCCCGATCAATGTCGAAGAAGCGAACATCCATGATAGT